AGTGGCGGTGGTGGCGATGGAGATGGTGGTGGCAGCGACAGTGGTGGTGGCAACAGCGGTGAGGGTGATGGTGGTAGAGATAGTGATGAGACAGTTTTAAACATAATTTTTAAAAAAAAAATATTTATGAGAAATAATTTATAGAAGTATTTTTAAAAAATTACTCCAAACACATACTTAGGGGCTTATTTTTCCTATTAAATTTAAGGTGTTAATATTAACCGTCAAATTAACTTTAACGTAAAATTTAAAACGATTTCAACCATAAATAACAAAAATTATTTTATTTATCTTTTGAGATTTGAATTATAAGTTACTTTATTATATAAATATTTTTTAGGACCTATTTATTTCGAAAGCAATATTATTTTTTAGAGGTTAATAGCTTCAGATATTGAATTATCGTGAATGTATTAGTAGTGTGGTGTATTTACTATTTTTTTTCCTGATGAGTTTATTGTGTTTACAAGTTCTAAGGTTATCCTTATTACTAAAGCAACATTGTTTATACTCGAACATAAAAAAAAAATTGATAATGCAATGTGTTAGAACGGTGCCTTTGTCTGTGATCTTTAATAGTGAGCAAATGGGTTACTTTCATTCTTGGTAGGGGTATCCGACAAAGAAACCTTTTGTCTAATCTTTTTTATTTTTTTATATGTGCAGCGGAGTTGTTCGCTTTACTTAAGGATGCTGAAAGAATTAACTCAGTTATTGGCATTTCAATCGAAAGAAGAAGTCCCAAAATCTCCTATCTATTTTTTTTTTGCGGATGACAACTTGTTGTTTTTCAAAGTAAAGGATTTATGGTACAGCTTCGGGACAACAAATTAACTTAGAAAAATATGCAATGGTTTGCAACAAGAATGTCCGAATGGGAGTAGCTAAAGAGTTGGGTATAGTGTTAGGTGTGGCACGAGTTCGACAACATGAAAAATACTTGGGGGCTGCCTTCGGTGGGGTGGGCAAATCCAAGAAAAAGGCCTTTGCTAGCATTCGGGAAAGGGTATGGAAAAAACTCCGAGGTTGGAAGGAACAACTTTTCTCCAAAGTGGGTAAACAAATTCCAATAAAGGTTGTAGCTCAATCTATCCCCACATTTGCCAGAGGACACATTAAGTTACCTGAGTATTTTTGTGTAAACACTTGTGAGTCTTTAACTTCAAATATCTGGTGGAGCCAAAAGGAAGGGGAAAGGAAAATACATTGAATAAAGTGGGCTGATATGTAAAAGACAAAAGAACATGGTGGTATGGGATTTTGAGATTTGAGGACTTTTAATATGGCTATGCTGGCTAAACAAGCATGGAGAGTCCACCACAAAACTCACACACTCCTCCATAGAGTCTTGAAGGCTAGATATTTTCCATCAAAATCTTTTATGAATGCTGAATTAGGGCACATACTATCTTACACTTGGCTTAGTACTATTTTAGAAGGTTGAAAAATTATAGAGTTGGGTTCTAGGTGGACAGTTGGTGATGGGACCAAAAAAAATAGCATTTGGCATGATTGTTGGATTCCGATGCCAAATACGTTCAGAGTTGTTACTTCAAGGAATATAATAAATCAAGATGTTAGGGTCAATGAGCTTTATTGATCCACATAATCGTTCTTGGAATGGGCAGCTGATTGATCAAGTGTTCCTATCTCATGAGGCGGAGATAATTAAATGTATCCAACTTTAAAGACAAGCTGATATGGTATTATAATTCAAACGTTAAGTTTTTAATCTGAAGTGTTTATCGCCTTGCCTATGTATGCGAACTTTTTCACTCAGCACATCTTGTCACCGAACCGAACCATCTTCTACTAATGGGATTGGGGGTGGAAGTTCATTTGGAATCAGAATTTACCAACAAAAATCAAAATTTTTATTTGGAGGTTGTCTTTAAATGCTCTACCTATTAATGCGGCTAACTACTGAACCCTAATCGAGACTCTAAGACTTGAATTCTCAGCTTCTAAATGAGAACTAACATCGATACCACCATTAGATTATCTTGCCTAGTGGTGTGCTGATGTGAACTTGGTGGTGTGTTGATGTGAACTTAACCGAATAAAACTTTATCCAAAGTTGAATTAAGTTTTTTAGAAGAAAACTTTACCTTTAAGAATAACGATAGTAGAAATGAGGAATCCCATCGCAAGGACTTTCATTTCATGTCCCATATTCATCTAATTTTTTAGGTTAAATTACATTTTTACCCTCTCAATTATGAGTTTTTTTTCCACATGATCTCCTCAATTATCATGTTTTTTATACTATATTTTCAACTATGTCATTAATTTTACACTGCTCCAAAAATTAATGTCCTTCACAAAGTTGACAAAAAGTTATTTTATTTTATCTTTGAATTATATTATTTTTTTACTTTACTTCAGCACTTTGGCGATTTTTGTCAACAAATATAACGGGTATTTGCATTGGGACGGCATGAAATACTTAAATGTGAAATAATTCAAATAATTAAGGGGACGCTATAAAAATTTCAATAATTTAAGGAGTAAAATAAAATCAATTCCATAGTTAAGGGGTGAAAGTGTAATTTACCCAATTTTTTATTGTGTCGAAATTAGAAAAGTGAGACATCCCAATCTGGAGAGTGACGTGAGCAATATTAACGGTAGGAGAAACCAGAGCGACGGCGTACTGACACATCCACCCTCATATTGGTCCAAAGCCATGTGATTCTTGCACGTTTCTCGATTCCTTTGTCATTGTGGTCCCTACCCCCGCATCCCCCCTTCCCATGGCCCCACACCTCACTTTGCTGTATTATTCCGTTCCCTTGTGTTGTGACCCTTTTGTTGGGACTTGCCCCCCCCCCCCCCCCCCCATCTAATTAGCCTATTTTAAGGATCTTATAATTCTTTTCCGAGGATCATTACATCATCAGGTAAAAAATAAAAAATATTTAATAAAACGGTAACACACATAACTAATTTATACAGTATATATTTTTCCCTTACGGGGAGAGAAACAAATATATTATTTTTCCCTAAACAATGTATTAAAATTTATATGATTTAATTATTATTTACAAAAACTAAATAAATAAATTATAAGCATCTTAGTATCTAAGTAATATATATATATATATATATATATATATATATATATATTTGTATTCATACAAATTCAACTAACTAAATTTAAATTCAAATCAAAATCAGATTTAAATGTGATTACGATATATCCTTTATTATACATTTAAAAATCTGGTTGGATAAGATTCTAGGTTGAATTACTCCACAATTATTTGATAATAAAAAAAATTCAATCACCATCTCAATGCAAGTAGGGGTCATATGTAGCTCAATGTACATTTCAAAGTAACAATATTATAATTTTGCATTCTTTTTATAATTTATCCTTACGAATTTTAGCCCACATTGACTGATGCCATCCAATTACATAGTTCAAAACATTAAAGAGCTAAGTAACTCTTCATATTTACTAGTATATTATCTACAAAATAAGTACCACCCAATTGCTCCACTTGTGTCGTTACACTTCATATAACTACTCTCTACCACCCAATGGCTCCGGTTGATGAGTCCACTTCAAAAATAATGGATGAATGGAGTGTTAATCAATTTTTGTTTTTTTTAATAAATAAAAATTAGAATCAATTATAATATAAGAATTTTTATTAAAAATAATAAAGATGCGTACATATTGGAAAGAGTAAAAAATTGAGACATTTTACTCTTTAGTTTATATGTTATGCCCAAATGATGCTCGATGAAATGTGTGAATGAAAATTCAATCCCTGCCATGTAGAATTTGGATGATGAGAATGGATAGTAACAATGAAAATTCGTGACTGTGTCATTGTTATTCTCATTACTGCTATTATTGTGTCACTATTATTACCACTATGTGTTACTGTCGCTGCCCATTTTATAATATTGCTAAACATCTCATTAGGAGTAAATTAATAATTGTGACTGCAATTGGGCCCAAAAAAATGGCCCCTGGACTTTGTGGCAAAAAAAATTGCTACAATGGACTGGCCTCCAAAGAGTCCACAAAAGAAGGTGGGAAGGAACAAATAGAGAATAGATGGGCTAATGCTAAAGGAAGTTTTTTCACTTGCTTGGCCCAATTATGAGCATCCTGGTTAATATGGGATGGATCAAAACGGAGTTTGGGTTGATTAAGTAAGGTGAGTCATTTTAGTGTTTTATTTATCAGCCTAGTCCATTGAATTGTTTGTTTCTTATTGCCAAGGATTTTTCCCAAGTTCTCTTGCATTGAACAATCTATCTTTGTATCTTGTGAATAGGGGCATTTAATCCAGCTAAGCTCAACTTTTGAGTTTAGAACAATTTGGAAAAAAGCTTGGGATTATTCCAAGCTTTCGACTGTTTTATGTGGAGCAGTGTAGGATATGCCTGTTTTACCTAATTTTATTATTTTAATCCTAATTTTTTGTTAATTTAAAGTATTTGGTCTTGAAAATAATAAATAAAATAAAATAATATTATATAAAATATGGGTCATTTGATGATTAGACAAAATAGAGAGAAAGAGATAACTCAAGTGGTAACATGAACAAACTTTAAGCTTAACAATTATGACTTCGAATTTTGACAATCCTTTAGAATCAGACTATGAGATAATTATATTTCATGAATATCTTAATTTCGACGTAAATGACTTATTTTTTATCAGATCGAAGAATAAATTAATTGAAGTATACGAAAATTGGTCTAGAACTAACATATAATAAAATAAGGAGAGATAATACCGAAAAGTTATTCAAGGCGGCCTTCCATTTTGTTGGGTGAAACCTTCAATGATCTCCACAGTGCAAACAAAACAATGCTCTGCATATTAGCTTCAGAAATTCAAACAAATAAAGACGGCAATCCGCGTTGTGTTCTTTGACATAACCGCATTATGCATTTGTCTTGTTTCCTTCTCATTGCCTCTTGTGAAATGGTCTATATACACACAATCCCAAATATAATAAGAATCCAAATTCTTAAAAATGGTCAATGAAAATGCCGCCCAAGCACTTACCATCAGATTATTGGATGGGTGGGACTGGGTTCTAAGTTTATCAAATTTATCTGATGGCACATTGATCATTTGTAATACTGCCACCGATACGCCTCAAATTTTTCTGAGTTATTGGCCTATACCGTGTGATCTTCAACCATGATCTACAGCCAATAAAATAAGCAATCTTCTCTGTTTTTGAACTTTTTAACTGGTTGGACCTGAGCACCAACCTGACTAAGAAACAATTCCATATGGAAGATCAATTAACATTACCTTGTCAAAGCAACAAGACCAATTCAGCTGAAGTCTCAGACACCCCCTTGTATATGATTTTGACCATGTTATTGGCATATTTGAACTACTGCTAGGCCTCTTTTAGAACTTTCAAACCTCAAATCTCAATCCCCTCCTTTCCTTGCCATTGCAACCATGTCTCTCTCTTCCTCTAGATCATTCCAATGGCTTCCTGTTTACAGCATCATCACCTTCATGCTGCTATTTCTTCCACAATCAAACTCAGTTTCCTTCAACTTCTCTAGCTTCCAGCCCAACACACAAGGTATATTCTATCAAGGTGATGCATTCCCTTCAGGTGGAGTGATCCAAGTCACCAAGAATCAGCGTGATGGTTCTCTGACTAGAAGTGTTGGCCGGGCCTCATATGCTACTCCCATCCAAATTTGGGAACGCAGGACCCGGAAGTTAACAGACTTCACCACTCACTTCTCCTTTATCATAGATGCTCTTAATTCATCTTACTATGGTGATGGACTATCTTTCTTCCTTGCACCCTTCCAGGCCGAAATCCCTGCCAATTCAGTTGGAGGGTACCTTGGCCTATTCAATGACAGTTCTGCTTTCAACTCCTCAGAAAATCAAATTGTTGCTGTTGAGTTTGATAGCTTCCAAAACTCTTGGGATCCGAGTTCGGATCATGTTGGTATCAATGTGAATTCAATTGCCTCTGCATCCACTGCAATGTGGGAAAATAGCATTAAGACTGGAGTGACAGGAAATGCTTGGGTGAACTATAATTCCAGTACTAAAAATTTAAGTGTTTTTCTAACTTATGCAGAAAATCCAATCTTCAATGGGGGATTTACCCTCTCATATGCTGTTGATTTGAGGGATATTTTGCCAGAATGGGTCAGTGTTGGATTTTCGGCTGCCACGGGTGAGTGGATCGAATTGCATAACATTCAGAGTTGGAGTTTCAGCTCTACCTTGGACCCTGGTGGTACTAGTAGGAACCAGAAAAAAGGGTGGGTGATTGCTCTGATTGTGGGTGTTGGTGCATTGGCTTTTGGGTTGGGCCTGTTTTGGTTTATCCTGTGGCGAAAGAGAGCTACTGGAATGGACAAAGACATGGCCTGGGATGTTGCCATGGACGATGACTTTGAAAAAGGAACAGGGCCTAGTAGATTCACATTCCGGGAACTGAGCCGTGCCACGAATAATTTTTCAGAGGGAGGAAAGCTTGGAGAGGGAGGGTTTGGAGGGGTTTATAAGGGATTATTAACAGATTCCAACACAGAAGTGGCTGTCAAGAGGGTATCGAGAGGATCGAAACAAGGGAGAAAAGAGTATGTATCAGAAGTGAGGGTTATAAGCAGACTGAGGCATAGAAATTTGGTTCAACTTATAGGTTGGTGCCATGAGAAAGGTGAATTCCTTCTTGTATATGAGTTTTTGCCCAATGGAAGTCTTGATACTCATTTATTTGGTGGGAAGGACAACCTTGCATGGACTGTGAGGTACAAAATAGCCCTTGGTTTGGCCTCTGCATTGCTCTATCTTCATGAAGAGTGGGAACAATGTGTTGTTCACAGAGACATAAAGTCAAGCAATGTCATGTTGGATTCAAATTACAATGCAAAGTTGGGTGATTTTGGGCTAGCCAGGCTTGTGGACCATGAGTTGGGCTCACAAACCACGGTCTTGGCTGGCACAATGGGGTACTTAGCCCCAGAATGTGTTACTACAGGAAAGGCTAGCAAAGAGTCTGATGTCTATAGCTTTGGGGTTGTTGCTCTTGAACTAGCATGTGGGAGAAGGCCGGTCGAGCTGAGGGCCGAGCCGGCTAAGGTGAGGCTAGTGGAGTGGGTGTGGGATCTGTATGGGAGGGGACAACTCCTTTCAGCAGCCGACAACAGGTTAATTGAGAAGTTTGAGGAGCGTCAGATAGAGTGCTTAATGGTGGTTGGGTTATGGTGTTGCCATCCTGATCACAATCACAGACCATCGATGAAACAAGTGATTAATGTTCTTAATTTTGAAGCCCCATTGCCAAGCCTTCCATCAAAACTGCCCGTGCCTATGTTTTTTGCACCCCCGATGCATATGTGTAGGTTTTCTTACACATCATCCGGCGGTCTGACGGACTCAGGGAGGCATCGGAGCCAATGTTCGTGTAGTAGTTGCAGCACGCAAATGTCTGTGGGCTCTTCTAAAGCTCTTCTACAGTTGCCTGAAGTTCATGTGTAGCTAAGAAGGGCAATTGATTTCCTCAGCTATGTGTGCAGCTTGAATGTTTTTACAATCTTATTATGTGAAATTACAGGGTTGGTTTAGTTTTTTTTTTTTTTCGTTTTAATTTTAATGGTGTAAGTAATTATATGGTTGATTTTTGTTGAAGCCATGTTTTAGCTGAAGGAATATTAGCTTTTCATTGACCAAAGAATTATCAAGAAATCGAATGATTGTAATGAGTTAATTGTTTTTTGTTTACGCTCTTAGGTTGCGAGACAATTATGAGGATAACTAATACTCTTTTGGTCCGTCGAGAGTAATGGTTTAATTGTATGGGTTAATACACACACAATTTACACTCTTAATTTTATAATACACACGATGCACCACCACCGCTATTGTGTCACTGCTGCCACCACCATCACCACTACCACTGCAACTGTCACCACCACCATTGTGCCATCATTGCCACCGCCGCCACCACCACCACTATTGTGTAGTCACCACGACCACCACCACGACCACCACAACCATTGTGTTGTCGCCACCACCACCGTTATGCCACTACCGCTAGGTGGTGGTAGGAATAAGGTAGTTGTGGAGAGATGGTTAAAAAAAATGACAAAATTAGAATAATAATAATTTTTAAATTTTAGCTCCTTATATTTGTCAAACAATTTGATTCAATTTAATACTTAAAAAATTCAACACTTAAAATTCAATATTCAATTTTCATTGTTCAGTTTTTAGTTTTATTAAACATCACCTTAGACAAATATTTATGTTACATTACTCTATAATAATAACCTTTTAGATTGAATGATAATTAAACAAGAGGTGAAACCGCCAAGGCTAAAATCCTTACTCTTTTTCAGGAAAAGTAACCACACAATATTATTTAATTATAATTAGTTGGTTTAATTCATTGATCTAATTTATCAAAATGGTTTGATAGGTTGTGATTAGTCCTAACAAATATTGGGGGCCATTGTGAGTTCAATGACGACGATTGATTATGTCAGTAAATTAAATATAAATAGCACTACTCAAAATATTGATTTCTAATTTTACCCTGTTATTCTTGCTTCTAGGGATATCAATTTTGGACAAAAGCAGATTCCAAGGGCAATATTTCAATAAAAGGAGTCATTGCTGGAAATTATAGCTTATTTGCATGGGTACCTACATGGTTTTACTGGGGATTGCATATACATCCTAATGTCACTATCCGACCAGGTATTAATATCAGAGTCCTAACATTTGGTTCTTAAGAAATCAATGAACAAAAATAATATAAAAAAATTGGGCAGGATAGTACATGAGTTTCGGTCATTGCAGAGTTTGGAGAAGGGCATGATAATAATTAACTCTGCATGCACAGCGAGGTTGTTTCGATGACTGAACCTGTGACGCTCTAAGTCATGGTGAAATAACCTTATTGCTATGCCAAGATTGCATACAAGACATGGTGGTGCATACGTCTGACCTGATTTCAATTACTTGTATTGTTTTTGACTCATAGGGTTTAAGCAATATGGGCTGTGGAATCCTTATGCAGATCTATATCCTCACAATGATCTGCAATATACAGTTAGCAATGACAGTTATAAAACAGATTGGTTCTTTGCTCATGTTACCAGGTATCTTTGCAATGTCGTTGCTCAGTCGTTGGCCTAATTACGCATCATTTCTCTGGGACATGACATAACACTTCACTCCTTAATACTTTGAAAACCTTTCATATAATCTAAGGGTATCAATTTGTATCTTGCTGTGTTATCTTCTGAGTTGTTATTTTTGGACATTGTTATTCTTATATTAATATTAATCCAACTCATATATTATACGTATTTATACTTCAGACCAAAAGCCCTTTTTCTTTTTCTTTTTTAAAAAAATTTTATTATGTTTTTGCTTAAAAGATTTCTACAAATTAAAAAATCTACTTAATGCTGGAAAGGGCATAGAGAAAAAGAGATTGGTTTATATAATTTAGTAGGGCCCAGGCTTAGATTTTTTCCCCCTAGGTTTGCAATTTTATGAGATTTTTTTAAAAAGGATTTGCACTTTTACGGGGCTTATTCCCAAATTTATTATTGAAATTACATCCAAGTGTTGGCAATAAATGATTGAATATTTCCTCATATCATAATGTGAAAAAGAATGTAATTAACCCTTTTTCATTCTTAATGTGAGCATGCTGCTCACCAATTACCCTTAGTATTGGATTTTGGATCCACACTTGTTCATATTGCACATATGTAAAAAAGCAAGTTCTATTGACTCTTTTCTTAATCAACAAAAGCAAGAAAATCAGATAAAAGTTGCAAAAAGGGAAGCAATCTGAGTGAAGTATAGGTAGATTTGCCACCTTTTTAAACCAGATATCTTTCCTAAGTTGACCATGATTTAAAATAGATTGACAATATTAATTACCCAAGTTATTTTAACACCTTGATCCCATCTATAAAAAGGTGAGCCAACACCATGCTCTCCCAGAAATCCCTGGCCTTACACCTCATAGGATCGTCCTCACCAAAAAGAAACCAATATCCACTTGGTAGGTTTGATTTTTCATGTTTTTGTAGTTCAAATTAGCTAATACTATATACACAAGTCTCGAGTAGAGAGTAGATTTTCATGCATCCGTTTTTTTTTTGGGAAGGAAAGGGGACTTGAATTCTTAACTTCTAGAAGACAAAGTCTTTACAAGATAAAGAGTACCAGTGGACCAAAGGTCCATTGATGCATACATCAGTAACATTAATTTATTGTGACGTGTATAACAGGTTCGAATTATGAAAACAGTTTAATTGTAAACAGGATAAGACGGCGTATATCTCACTCTATCCAAATAAGAACCGCGTCCACTTGAATAGTTACCCCTTTATGCTGATTGTTTTGACTGTTTTGATGTCGGTATTGTCAAAATGCTTCATCAATTTTTCTCTCCAGGACCAAACTTGTTCTTTAGTTTTACCTGAAAAACAAAGAAATCCCCAAGAACAACTATGAAAGTGTCTGAAATTCAATGGTTGTGAAAAGGAGACAGCCTATAGTGAAGCCGTTAGTTAAAGAAACAAAACCGTTAATATTTAACAATGAGGTCATTCAATTCACGTTAAGTCTGCATTACATGCAGTTTGAAAAGAACAGACTTTGGTCAAAAATATTAAACTCAAAAAGTAAGCTTTAGTGGAAATGGAACTGCCTCTTTATGGCACCATACATTTTAGACGAGTCAATCGTATCAGGTGGTGCGAGTTCGTCTCAAAAAATAATCAATTCATACCTATCGTGTTATATTGGGTTTGTGTCGTGTATAACTAGTATACAAATAAATCGTGTCGTGTGTTTTTTCTGATTAACTTCATCTATACCGATTCATTTATTAATCATGTTATGGCGGGTCCACTCGTTTATTATTTTTTTTTTAATCCACTCGTTTACTAAACGTGTGGTTTAAGAAAAACTCAAACCCTCTAATTTTGTGTCGTGTTAATGGTCGTGTCATATTTTGACACTTTTCCATTTATTGATAGTCTGTGTAATAAAAAAAAAATTCTAGGCTCCTCTTAACTTTAAAACTTGTTACTTTTGATAAATTCCTTTTTTTATTAATTTTTTTTTTATCCTGATATTATTTTCTGGTCTCTGCAATATATTCCCAGTTTATATAATTATGTACAGTACAGAAAATATTAATACTTTAGGAGGCCCAGGTGAAATGTTATATAACATTTTTATTATGTTTTTAATACTGATGCATTTCGACGAAACGAATTCGTTCAAGGAGTGTCCATATTTCTTGTTTTTGTGATGTGGGACAGAAGGTTTTCTTGGTCAAAATGGAGAGAAGAGGGAATACTAGGCAATGGAGTTTGCTGATTGGATTAATATGCCTGCTTCTTCAGTTCTTCTTCTTCCTCTCTAACAGTGCAGATCACAATGGGTAAGAATGGCAAAAGCTTTATTGTTTCTTTTTTTTAGGGAGATTATACTTTGACCTTTCAAATGTGTTTCCAACCTCGCATTATCCTTTCTACCATAGGTTTCTTGTATTGCATCTTTAATTATACTTATTCATTCTACCATACGCCTCAAGATTTCTCTTATGGTTTCATACTTTTTCCATAGTTGATACTAAAAACAAGTAGCTTACTACACATTTGGACATTTTTTTGTTCAAATAATGTGAGATGTTATGTTTTTGGGCAAGGTAAAACCAAATAAAGTATTTGAGAGGACAATGCAAGATATTTCATAGTTGAGGAGGTAAAATAAGATTTGGGTATGGTGGAAAGAGAAAAATTATAACTTGTCCTTCAATTTATGACTAACTTCAATGGTTTTAATAAGATTTTTTTTGGATTAATAGCATTTTTAATCCTTAAAATATGTATTTTTAGGCAATTTGGTTTTTATTATATCAATTTAGTCTTTAAAGTATACAATCTATATCACTTTGATTTCTAATCAGGCAATTTTTTAAATTTTTTGACAGAAGTGATCACGTATAATTTTTTTGGACGATCTCACGTTCCCAACTATGAGCATTTTATCAAAAATTAAATGGTCTGTCTACGTAAGAACTAAAGCAATCAAAAATTAAATGGTCGTACGTAAGAACTAAAATGACACAAATAAAGTATTCTAGGGATCAAAATAAAAAATTAATGCAATAAAAAATAAACTAAAAAAAATATATAATTTGAGACCAAAAAATTATTATTATTATTTTTTCCTTGCTACTTACGCACTTTTCAATTGGTCAAACCCGTTATTGGACATTCCTAACTTATGTTAAAGTGGTCAAATCCGTTAAAGGACACTACTAGCTTATGTTAAAAGGATGTATAAAAGTTGAACTTGCATGTGGTATCGAAATTTTGAATTTCAATATTTTACTAAAATTTATCGTATTTGTGGATAGTTTTATCATAGTTTTGGTATCCAAAAAAAAAAGTAAAATAGTTATCGTGATAAAAATATTCATAAATATAGTAAAAACACCT